ATGGCGGGTAGGAGGGAAGCAACGAGTCGAGCGCAAAACAACGAAATCGAATCACTCTCGGTGGCCGCTGGTACTTTTCATGCGTGAATTTTCCGACTGCTCGACACGTATTGCAGCTGCGGAATCGCCGGTAATAGCTTTAGCAAAATCGAGAGTAATGCCCGAAAACATTTACTGTACGGACCGCTGGCTGCGAATAAAAACGCTGGCGATCGTATAACGATAGCGACCCCGCCCCCTCGCGTATTATGTATATACTAACCGTTCTGAGGAGGATTTATTATTCCCGCGGCCGTCTATTATTGCGAAACGTCAGGGCGCAAGTGTCTGCGGGTTAAATGGAATGACCCGCTTTAACACGCAACGTTGGCACGTGTTCCGTGGTTGGTCGGTGGTCAAAATCGTCATTCTTGCATTATGTAATTGCACAGTTTAGAGTCTACTGTTTCGTTCCGCACTCGTTTTCTTATTACCTAGTGTAATCATCGTTATGATAACCAGATTGTGAATCTTTATGTAAATACATATTCTAGAGGACTAATATGTTGAAATGAGAATTTAAATAAAAACAGTTTATTAACAGTTTGATGTCGGTTGACGTAGTAGTACGTCTTTTGAAGAAGGAAAATCTGGGAGCCTCGAACGTTAGTAATTCCACGCCGCGGTAAAGAATCGTAAAGAATTATCCGCAATCCCGATCCGCATTAGTTCTCATCGATATTTTCTCGCCATAAATAATAAGAATCGTTATCGAAACGAACGAAAATTCCCGCTGGAACGAACGCATCTAGGGGTATAGGGGATGGGGCGACATCCGATACGAAATCGAGCAGTTTCCACGGGCGGCGACGAGAGAGTTACGGGGGAGCCTCCCCCACACAGGGTGCGTCCCGATGTCCATTGTAAAATTTCGATAGCGGACGTGTCAGAAGCTGTTTACACGATCGTATTTCCGCGGCACAATTTCGTGCCTGATCGCGTTTATAAAAGCGGAGCCAACCCCCGGCAGCCATCCGCCCACTCACCCACCCCTCGTCATCGATATTCGTCGAAGAGAGGGGGGGATTAATCGTGGGCGCGTTTATGACGAGTCGACGGCGTGTTGTCGTTCGTCATGGAAATAAATAAATAAAAAAAAAGAGGGGGTGGGAAAGTGCGAGGGGAGAAAAGGGCGAAAAACAAAACAGAAAAAACTAATAACAACTAGCAACGGGAGTGGGATGGCGGAAAAAATTTGGCAGCGCAAAACGGTGGACGTAACGGCGAGGGTTAGGCTGCGAGATGAGGATAACAGAGAGGAATATACACGGTGAACCGAAAAGATGAGTACCCCGGATTAACTCGGAAGTATAAAGCTTTAACAATTTTGAGGTTAATTCGATTTTTTTAATGGGGAAGATGTGACCACATGTCTGAACGTAAAATTTTCCGTTCTTTTCATTTCTGGTGCTATAAATGGGGGTCTCCGTTAGAAAAATTCAATTGACCTCAAAATAACCTGTAAATTTGACCTCTATCTCACGATCGAGGACACCATCCTGTTTTTAAATCGTAAAACTTAATTTTGTATCATTTTTGCCTAGAACTTCGTCCTTCCGAGTCAATCTGGAATAGTGATCTTTTTGGTACACCCTATATGTTGTACAGAGATACCAGTGACACGACCAACGGGCAAAATATCTCGTGGAGACGGGGAACGCGCGCGGACATTTTGCCAATCGAATTTATCGGGCGTGTATTAACGCGGTCGGTCGGTCGGTCAGTCTGGTAAGTGTCTGCGAATGGCGGTGTAAACGCGCTCGATTTCGCGTCGATGTAATTAACGTCGGGGTAATTCCCGACAATTACCGTCATCATCATCATCCATCAAACCGCAGCCGACCTGTTACGTTTTCCTGTTATACCTGCACGATAATTGTCGTCTCGAATCACTGGTCTCGCATCGATGCGCGCCCCTACGCGCTGCCAACGGATACAAGCTCGTTAAAACAGAGAGCCATGGATCTCGCGCTCGCGCACGCTGCGGACACAGATCGACCCGCTTGAGCCGTCTGGCGTAAAATATGTTTGAACGGTTTTAAAACGTCTACGTTCGCTGCCGTTCGAATCGACAAAGTGTAGTATATAACCTGTCGGTAGAACAATACATCCTGTTGGTAAACACGATCGATTTCTAGTTCGTTTCTCCTGCTTTAAGCTTTATTCATCGTTTCAATTTCACACTATTCCCTCTAGGGTGAAGTACCTAACATGACCCTATACTTTCAACTAGCATTTGGACCACTTTCTCTAACTGTCAAAGTCACACTCTCCTCAGAATACAATTACTTCGAATTACAATCTTTTTTCCCCCACAAGCCCCACAAATGGATCGAATAAAAACTACGAAAGAACACCTCCCGAAATTCAATCCACGCAAAATACCTTTCACGAGAATACTCAAACGAATCTCAAGACACGACAGGAATGTCTAAACTCTTCCAGTGTCTACTTCGTCGCAGCAATAATCACCGTTCTCTTTCTCTCCCTTCCCCTTTCAAATAACGCGTTCGCGCGTAAATCACGCCGAGATTTATTGAACGTGTAACGCGAGCGAGCGGATCGACTTGTGGAGGAACAGGAAGAAAAAGAGTCCGTGGCCGCGCCTCCTGTCTTTCCCCCGGGTCCATGCGTGTGTGTGTGTGTGTGTATCCCAGCGTGTTCCTCGAGCGGCAAAACTCCGAAGTACTCCTTCTCATTTTCGATGCGCTCTCCAACCCCCTCCCATCATCCCTAGCTAATTTATGAATCGTCCCGCGCCCCCTTCTGTTCTCACCCGACGTCTCCGTCGGGAGAGTCACCCGGCCTGGTGCGCGTTGGAGATGGGGGTTCCCTTTCCCATCCCCTGTCACGACACGAAGCCCGATTTACGATTTGAGGGGTGCATCCGAGCGGAACGGGGGAAGGTGTGAGGAAGAGTGGGGGGGGGGGGGGGGGGGCACGAGAAGGAAATAACGGGTGCCCAGGCTGCTAAATATTCAATAAACGCGAGCATTATTCCCGTCACGTCGACGTTCGAAGCTGCCTTCCACGGTGGAAGCAACGACGGCAGCGGCGAGACCCCGAGAGAGCTAAGGAGAGAAAGATGGGTAAAGGAGCGCGCGAGCAGCAAAGTGATCGAACGGGAAAGAGAACGAACGGTCGAGTAGAGGATAGAAGACACGGAGAAAGAAGGGGAGGAAGGGGGAAAAAAGTGGGCTATTTATCCTGTCGGTCGTGAGAATTCCAGATCGGAGATTCCGGGTCGGGTTGTACCCAGATAGATTCTCGTCGTGTCAGATCTCCCCTCTTCTACCCAGCCCAGTTTTATTCGCCCATATCTGACGGGGAACTGTCTATTCTCGGAGCCCCGGCGCAAGAACCGTCTTATCCCGGTAAGATGGTTTCTGACTAAAAGATCGACGACGACGCGGTGCAAGATATAAAGCGTCCCGCGCGCGCGCGCGCGCACGTTACGGTCTCCATGTTCGCTCGTCGAGCCGATAAATTTTCATGATCGTACGCACCACCCTTTCCCCCTTCACAGCCCGCCCGACCCGCCTTGTAAATGAATAGCCCGGTAAAAAGGAACGAAGATGTGCACGGTAATTGACGACATTAATGTCCGGAATGTCGTAAAACCGAGCGCGAAATGAAATACGACGTTTCTCTTCTGGCCCGGAGCAGACGTTGCTCGTTCCCGCTTTTGGTCCTGTTTCGCCGCCAGCAAATTATACCCGTCGTTTTTCTCTATCTCTGTTTTACGCGACACGGAAAACGGAGAGAACGACGAACGTGCCGAAGAAGGGAAAAATCGGTATTTACAATGGCGATCACGACCGGTAGGCGACGAGGAAAACGAGAAATTCAAATCAGCCGATCGCCGCGATGAATATGGATGTCGCGAGGAGAAAAACACGGCCCCGTAGAGATCTTTGCGATGCAAATTCGCCGCCGTGAGTCCTTTGGCTTTTTTTTTTATTTTTATTAATATCGGAAAAGCGTTTGGTAGGTTAGGTAGGACTTCGATCGCGCCTGCGAAAGGGTGCATTTAATTTGGATCTTTTTTTTATATATGACATTTACATATAATTACAAACAATACTACAACGGCTACAAATGGGTCAAAATGATACTGCATTCGTAGTACAGACTCATCTCGATTATTGTCCCGAACTCGGATCCGCGCCAGGACAATAATCTTACAGGAAGAAATGCTTCAGACCCTCATAAATTCATTTTTTTAGGGCACCAAAGTATGCGCTTGACAGGTTCCACCCCCCGCCCCCAGTGGTGGGGATAATGCTTGGACAATAATCGACTAAAACAAGCTGGACAATAATCGAGAGAAGTCTGTACGAAAGTTAATACCGTGCCCGCGATACACAGTGAATAATCAGCGACAGAAACCAGCGCGTGTCCGCCCCTCTTCACTCTATTGTAAAACGCAGCGGAAAGAAGTCGTTCGGGGTGGTGGCCCCCCATCCGGTGCAATTTGCATGTTATTACCTTGTTTACATATTTATTCAATAGCGGCCTGGATGATCCCCATCTCCTTTTCCCCTTGTGGGAATCATAGTCTCTCCCTAATCCCCGAGCCACGGGCGCGTCCCTTTAATTTTGAATTAAGGGCCACGCGCGCGCGAAACCCTGTCGTGGCTTGGTCGTGGGCGATTAGTAAGTCGAGGCACGGATATTGCTCGCGCGCGCGCGCAGCCGCTGCTGCCGCGTCATGAATGAAAACATAAATTTCACCGGACACGTCGGTGCTATCGCGCGTTAAGTCAACGAAGTAATTGCTATACCGGTGTGTGCTCGTGGCTACCGTGGTGCACGTGCGTGCGCATCGTAGCCTGCACACATCCATAGAAACACAGACATACACGCGTATCGTATTCATACGAACACCGAGTGTAAGCGGCTTCTATCGCCGCGCTTCGATGATATTCATTTGAAATTCAAATTAAACAACGAGGGCTTACCTGTTTATGCATTTCCACGTTCAGCCCGTAGGACATCTCGTAATACTGCAAGCATGAAACAGAAAGAAAAAAACATACAGAGGAACGATATATTAGACGTGAAGAGAGATATTAAAAAAGAAAAAAAAAGGAAACACACACCAGCGGAAATATAAAGAATCCCCTCTCCCCAACCCTCCCCGGTGGTTACAAGCGTTAACGCGATGCTTGCGCAATACGTGCGCGCGCGACCTGGTAAGAGCCTGAACGTGAGTTACATTCGTATGTATACAAACGTGCAACGACAGAAAGAAAACTGTTCACAGGATAGCGTGACCACGCGAGGGTCCATCGGCTCTCTCTATCTTCCGTTCATTCTCGTTTCGTTGCACCCGCCCTGGCCAGCGGGTTGACTTTAATTGAATTTACCGAGGACATCGATCTCAGTCCGAGGGCCGCTCGGTGCCATTTACAGGCCAGAAAGATCCGACCGGTTGATTGAGACGATCGAGATAAACCGAATTTGTGCCAGGTAGCCGGGAACGATAAATAATTTCATTCGAGAGGGGGTTTGAGGGGGGCAACGAAAGCGGGGATAAACTTGCCTCTAGAATGTACTCAGGTGCAACTTATTATGCAACGCACGACTCGATTGCACCTGACCGTTCGAAAACGCCCGGGAGGCAGAGGTATTCGCGATCCCCGACGATCGAATCACCGTCGGATTAATCAAACACATACTCTCAGACGCATTAACGTCCCGCCGTTATATAAGTAATACGCCTCCTGCTGCTTGCTCCGAATACGATCGTATATGTATCTAGAAACGATGGCTTAACGCTCGAGATTCCTGAACGACGTTAGGAGAGGGGGGTATATACCGAAGGGTAAGAAGAAAGATGAGAGGAGGATAGATGTTGTAGGTCCTCGGGACAGTCGGTTAAGCCAAGCAGAAAGACTCCCAAGGGCTAATCGAATTATCGGGTTACCTAAACCGAGATCCTGGCTCGAATTCGTAATAACGTCCAAAAGAACCCTTCGAGGTGGGTCTTTAAGGGGGACCTGTACATGGCTGCCGGAGAGAGAGAGAAAGAGGGAGACAGCGGAGATTACATCGATCGAGCGAGATTACGAAAACCGGGCCAAATTGAGCCGTAATGCGAGATCTCGGCCCGGGAAGGAGGATAAACGTCCTGGAGAGAGAAAATGAGAAAAACGAAAGGGAATCGGTCTCTCCTACCCCTGAAGAGGTAGCTGCGCGCCTGGTTTGGGTCTCTCTCTCCCTCTTTCTATCTGCGGTTGCGTTCGTGTTTGGGTCCCCGTGCGTGTATACGCGGGGACGTCCAAGACCGGTTTCTCGTAACATCGTTTCTACATCGTGTGTACAAGATCCCGGGCCCGGGTATGCTTTAACTAATTCACCTACCGGGGTTCTCAGCTTTCCCCTCGACGTTCACGTCGTGGATGTCTGAATTAGGACTGTAAGTATTCGGATATTCGAACTGTCCGAATGATTTCGAATGCGAATTATTTATTCCAAGAATTCGAATAATTTCGAATACGGATAATTTATTCCAAGAATTCGAATAATTTTAAATACGAACGAATTTATTCGAAGAGTTTGAATAATTCGAATGATTCGAGTCGTACGAAGTGTTCAAATAATTCGAATAGAGCGGAATATTCGAATAGTATGAAGTATTTGATGAATCCGCACCATTTTCGGAGGCTTTTACAAGAGTTCAACCAGTTCGCATAAGGATGAATAGGCGTGCAATATTACAATTCTTTTTAGTGCAATATTATATTCAAATAATAATTATTTATTCTTTGCAACAAACAGAAAACGGGTTGAAGATGTCTGATTCTGTTTGTAGGTTCGAAAAGTTTCAAAGCCTGGTCTCCACCGACGGTCATCACACGGCCAAGAAGACGGACCCTTCGAAATTGCGTTTCTGGCAAAGAATTCTTGGAGTGGTTTGAATCTTGGGCACCACAGAGACCCTCACAAACTGGAAACTGATCTTCCGCTGGCTTTTGTGAAGTATCGACAGAACGAAACACTTCGAAGAACTCCAAAGTCCGCAGAACGGAAAGAGTTAGCTGGTCTCATCAGGCTATGGCTACTTTCAAAGATTGGGGTTGCAAGTAGGAAAAGAAGCACTCGAATGATCTACATTCTTCGGTCTTCGAGATACTATCTCTGAAAATCTTTCTGAAATATTTGGTCAAGGATCTGTATTTAGGATCACTGAACGAATTCCCTTAAAATTGTCTTCTCCTGTTCAACCAACTCCCTCGATTCTGATCTGTACCCTAGCTGATTTCTCTACAGACGAACCGTCCATATTTAATCTCTAAATACAGTGATCCCTGGATGAATACCATACGAGTAATGGCGTTATTTATGGAATCAATAAAAACAGAGTAAACAAAAGCTAAGCAGAGGCTTGGTTTCGAGTAGAAACAAATTTACGAGAAGCTGAAATCCTTTCCGCCTAGCCATAAATACTCCAAAGTGGACCTGAGTACGTCGCACTCATCGAGACATTACTATAACGATATTTAATCTCCACCTCTCTAATATCAAATACTGTTTATCTACGATAGGTACGTAATTTCCCATAGAAGAATCGAAATCTTCACCCGATCAGATGTGAACACTGGGCAAGCAGCCTGATATAATCGCCGGTAAATGATAACCTCTAAACAGATGTAGCCACTCAAACCCCACAAAAGGCGTTGGTCGATTTTTTAACAAGCTGCTCCCGTTATCGATGACAAGCGCACACATGTCAAGTGGAAAACCCATCGGGTTCCTCGGGTTTCGTACATACCCGAATGGCTTCTCATCCCCTGCGTTATGAGTCATCTCGCGACTCGGTATACGCTCGTGACTCATCGCGACGGCCCCCGAACAAGACTTTCGACCAGCGGAAGAAATGTCACCGGGACGTGCGCACGACTGGCATTAAAAAAAAAAGGACTTTGTGATTCGGGGGACGATGAACGAAAGAGAGAGGGAAAAAAAAGAAGAAACACAGAATTCGACGATAACGACGTACGGACACGAAACGGAGCTAGGAAAAAATGCGTGACTCGCGGAGATCGGCGAGAAAAAAAAATGGTACCCTCCGCGATTTTAACGAGCGTCCGGAACGTGGAGTGGTCCGCCGCATTATTCCTTGTACAGAAACAACGACCGCCGTGAAAACGGTCTTTATTGCTCGTCCATCGTAAAACTGTGTTTTAATATATCAACGCCGCGGTTGTCGCTGCAGTGGCGGACGGTGGTGACGTTTTTTTTTTTCTGTTCGCCGTTGCGGAACGTAAAACCCTTTCCCCTGGAGAATGATATTGAGTTATAATGTCGGCCGGGCACGTCGAAATGGCGCGTCCGTGGCGACAAATTCCGAGATTTAAGGCATCGTTTCCGGTTCGATGAAAAAAACGGGTCACCCGTCGGGAGACAGCGTTCTGACCGTACAGAATTACGGGAACTAATAGATCCGATGACGTGGAAACTCTAGTAAAATATTTGTGGTCTTTGTTTTATATCAGTCTCCGATAATTTTGAGTTTAAAAGTAAAACAGTACGAATTCAAAACAGTCGAAATAGTCTCCACGTGGTGAAGGTGTTAAACGGGGTCTCGGGTTGAAAATTACGGACAAATCTACACGTTTCGTACCGCAATCGCATAAAATCTGCAATCTACTCATCACACGCGTTTGAAACACACGCCAACATCGGTTCCCGTACACACGAATCGTCCAGTGTTCAACCAGGGGACTCACGACTCCAATAAAACTTCATGTACCGTAAACATTTACGAGCGGGCTCGTTCGGAAGACCGTTCCAGCTCAATATCATCGGAAAGTGACGTTTTACATACCGGCGAATAAGACGAAGCCACCGGATGGAACAAGAATAAAACGAAAAACACCGCGTTGGAGCATTTGCATCGACCGTAAAAGGAGAGACGGTAAAAAAAAAAGAGAAAGAAGATACCAATGGAGGTATTCCCCGAGGTATTGTCGCATGAACGATGTCGTCCAGAAAGGATTCTGAATCGGCCAGAAATCACGGGGAAGAAAAACGACCAGCAAGAAGAAGGGACAAGAAACCGTAGTTGGCCAACGGTGTGGATCGTCTCTCTGTCTCTCGTCTCGTGGCTCGACGAAGGTAATTAGCCTTTAATTAATAGACTTCGCCCCCTCGACGGACCCAGCCGGAGTGGAGGTCAGGATCTTAATTATCGTGAGGCTGGAAACATTAGTCGCGCGCGGTCGACACGTTTAATACGAGCGTGTCGCGAGCAGGACTCGATTCGAGCCAGGATGATAAAGCTTGTGCTCGCGCTGGTGCGGCAATAAACGTCGTTCAGCCGTTAAACTCGCCGAATCCAGAGCCCACCCCCCACTCGTTTGCATTTTCAAATTGAACCGAGGTATACGCCCGCTCGTCGGGATTTTATACCGCGTTCTCCGTGTCCGACGGTGATCGAAATTCCAACTGGCTCGATCTCCGCCGGAAATTTATGATATCGAGGACGTGGGATATGTGTCGCGGGACAAAGGTATGGGATACGGTCGTTCGAGCGACCTTCTTTGAGAGAGGAAAGCGACACCGCTTTAATTTTCACTAAATACGAATGTCCGAATGCCTAATGGCCAAGTGACCCTAAAAAAAGAGAAAAATAAGAAAATCTGGATAAAGAAGAACCCCGCAAGAAAAACAGAACGGGAAATAAAGATGAAGGATGTCCAATAATGGAGAATGCATAGACTCTTCTCGATTATCGTCCCGAACTCGGGTCCGCGTCGGGACAATAATCGTATAGGAAATGAATAAATAATAATTCATAGAATACGATGCTTTTGTTAGGTGGGCACGTGTAATTCAATCGATGAATAAATCCGTGCACTCTGTTCGCGCGGAATCCCTTACTTAAAAAATTGTGAATCGAACCGAGAATACACCACGAAAACCCACCGACGACCCCTCGAATAGCAATCCCTTTGGCCCTGGAAACGAGTCGACGCTTTCATTCTCGAATAAACGACAG